CTAGAATGGGAAACTAGACTGGTGCCTAGAATGGGAAACTAGACTGGTGCCTAGAATGGGAAACTAGACTGGTGTCTAGAATGGGAAACTAGACTGGTGTCTAGAATGGGAAACTAGACTGGTGCCTAGAATGGGAAACTAGACTGGTGCCTAGAATGGGAAACTAGACTGGTGCCTAGAATGGGAAACTAGACTGGTGCCTAGAATGGGAAACTAGACTGGTGCCTAGAAGGGGAAACTAGACTGGTGTCTAGAATGGGAAACTAGACTGGTGTCTAGAATGGGAAACTAGACTGGTGCCTATAATGGGAAACTAGACTATTGCCTGGAATGGGAAGGTGGCTGGACCTAGAATGAAAAATTAGGCTGGGACCTAGATAGGAAACTAGACAAGGTTATCGCAGGGTCTAGATAGAGAATACCATGTAATGTCGTGTAGGAGAGCTTGGTTTCACTTGATAAGGGCTATGTTCTTCAGTATATATATATATTAGGTAAGATATTTATACAGTACAAATGAGTTTGTTCGGCAGATTTGGCTCCAAGTTCCGACGACATATTTAATGATGCAGTTATGTCTATTTGTGAGAAACCCACGTTGAAACACAAAATAACAAATGTGTGCATTGTTGCCGCATTCTAAGGATAAATCTTATATTTATATTCTTGTTTCCATTTATTTAAATGTTGTTTGATCTGGATATATAAGTGTGTATATAAATTATAAATAGCATGCATATACGTTCAGGATTACAGATAAAGTGATTTACAGATACAGTGATTTACAGATACAGTGATTTACAGATACAGTGATTTGGAAACAGGTATATGTTAAGGCGAGGAAGTCGTTACCTACGTATGCGTCAGGTGGCCATAGCGTGGCACTGTTTACAAACAAGCGTCTACCCATGAGCCTTTGCGTTCTTAGCGTGTGCTGCTATTATCGCTTGGGGCTCAATTCCCGCACGTGCGCAGGAGACGACCCTCCCGCTTTAACTATATCACAATTGTCAATGTTCGCAGACTTGCCTTATTACTGATATTGTACAATTGTATAATGTCAATTGGTTACATCAACTGGCTACGTTTATTATTCAAGTATCGGTTATTTTGATTGGTTTCTGCCTCGTCGATTTAAACAGTGTGTTACTCGTTGTCGCCGATTACTGCACTACTACACACGCTCAGACTATGACGTAGGGCTGATTGCATCATCCGGTAAATGAACACAGAATTCTAGTTAAGAATAAGTGCTCACCCAAAATAGATTCTGTCGACTGCATTGCTTACAAATTGCCCTGTATAATTGCATTAATCATACATATATTTATATCTATAGATCCCATAGTAGAAACGTTCCAGTGTAGTTAATGTTAAACAGCACAGAACATGCATATTTACACAATTGAATGTACAGATAAACGTTAACTTAATCAGTAATTACAGCCGTCTTTCACTTATTAAACATATTTAGTAAAACAACTATTATGTAGCTATTAATTGGGGTTAGACATTACACAACAATCTCGTCATGTGTAACCTTAACCTTGTTTGTTATAAATGGACAACTTCATAATATGGGTGGAATTCGTGAAGCCTTGCAAATTGGAAATTGGAATCAATTGTTAGTAGTTTTTAAACAATGTGGGGTGTTAATTAAGGCACCGCTTGTTGACCCTTGTGATGTATTATTTGAATATTAGAAAAAGCGTACGAGGTGAGGTATCACATGGAATTTAAAAATAGTTCTTATTACTATTAAACATCGCGATTTATAAATACATAACAAATACTAAATATAAACTAGTCTAAGAAGCTTTTTCGAGACAAGCAAAAGTTTGTTTGCGAACTCTGAATCTCGTTTATAATACCTGTACCATGCTGAGATCATTCGGCATGATACAACAGAGAATGACGTCAATTGGCATTTGGTTAGAATGTTAAAAACAAGTAGCGTGCAGTGTTACATGCCATATATGACTCCATATAGTCAATAGCTTCAAATCAACGATAGTTAGTTCAACTATTGGAACGTACGTGTAATATGTACTTAATCGCGCGACAATGTCCCAATAGACTACATATAACCGCCACGGTGTACGTAACATCAGTAATCTCCTACGTCTCAGATTAATATAACGCTGAATCTGAGAGTAATCACGCGTCATTTCTGCTGAATTAAAAACGTTAGAAAACATTTTAGGTTCATGTACCTAAAAATCCATATATATGCATATTGTTTTTTGCTACATATATCATGTTTATGTATGTCTGTCTGATTGTCTTATTTACAATCTTGTAATTATGATGACAACCGTGTATGCTGTAGTATCTATAATCTATGATTACTTCGTTTTATTTGATGACGTGTGTGACATGAATACCGTGTAATGTATATCAGCGTGCGATCATTGAATGCCTGGCGATCAATTGAAGAGCAATAACACTTAATCACGGAGAAGTGTCTGTCTTCTTACAAGGCGTTATTCACACAGTGGCTGTCATTGTGCAAGACAAATCAATACTTCGTTTATCGTGTGCGAGACAAATAATTAGTATCTTGGGTTATGAGTTTCTTGCAAAGTGTGATGTATTTAAAACCGTGCAATTAGATATCATCTTGGTATTCACAAATTTCCTGTATTACTGGTGGTAACTGGCAATATGGGGTAGCGTAATAGTACCCGGATACGTGAGTTAAATATGGTTAGGTTGTGGAATCAACAATGCCAGATAAAAAAGGTTACTAAACAAGTATTTTTGTGGGATCACAATCTTAAATATAAGAGGCCAGAGGCTATGTAGTATTTCTGCATTTTCAATGAAGTCAAAGGAAACCCTAAATTAAGAACGTATATCTTAACGTATGTATACAAAGATGAACAATATCTGAATCCCAATTTGTCAAGATCAAACAAGTCTTTCTTGACTCCTTTCTTTAACTGTTACAATTGAAACTGTTTAAAAATTGATTCATTGACCATTGGGAAAAGAAAATGCGACTTCTGCTTCGATGTAAAATCCAGTCCAATTTTAGGTGAGTTATCTTGTTCAAGACAAATGATAACATATCTTTAAACATATTAGGATACTGGACATATACATTAATTCACCTCCACCAGAGCTGGCAACATAAATTCAAAATGCATTTACAAAGAGGCATAACTTGGTCTATTTATTTATTAATTGTATTGTGCTTAGTGTCTTATAGTGTGTTGTGAGCCTTTTGGGCTGGGTGTAGTATATCGACCACACATGACAATTATACTATCGTGATTGGTAGAACTAACGCGAACTGCAGTTCTATTATTCTGATTGGTGGAACTAAATCAAATTTCAGTTCTACTATCGTGGAACTAAATCTAACTGCAGTTCTATTCTCGTGATTGGTGGAATTAGTGCGAATTACAATTCTACTATTGCGATTGGTAGAACTAAATCTAATTGCAATTAAACACGCGTCTGTAAATGCCACTGTGTCGTATTGTCTAGTCAAGATTGAATAATGCAAATAGAGGTATTTACATGCCGCAGAGTAGTTGTTATGTCATTAAGCAGTGGTGTTGTTCTATGCGAGTAAGTTGAGAAACGTTTGTCCCTTATGTTGCACGTGAAATTAATGAATGGTGAGGCACAGGGCGTTGACCGGGCGTGTTTATTCTTGAACTAATTATACACACCACGACATAATTATATATTATCTGGCAATGAAGCCTGACTGTAACATCAATTTGCATACCGTTATGGGTTAAGTAATTACATAATTAGTTAATTAATTTATAGTTGGTCTATTGTTAAAATTGGGCTGAATTAAGCATGCGTTGTTGACGCCACATGCGGTGTTCTGTATTGAAACGGGAAACCATAAAGGTCACCAGTCTGGCTGCTGTCTTTCATTGGTCTGCGTAACAATTGTATGATTTCTTCCGTGTCATAATTTCCTACATATGTCGTCATCACAAAACAACCGTCATTACGATCACCGTCGTCTCCAGCATGTTCCTGTTTGCGTATACGTATGTACTTTTTATTCAATTTTGTATGTAATCAGGGTCGATGCGCCTTATTTCTCTCTGTTTGTGACGTAGGTGGTATTTTACATGGTAAAAATTACATGTATTCATGGTAACATGTATGGCATGTATAGACCGCATTCCGTGTCGTGTCTGAATAAACGTTGTCAAGATACGTACATGATGGTAGTTGTACTGTTATTATGTACTCAAACCAGAGTCGTGAACGTCCCTTTACAAGCTGATCGTTCAATGGCCACGGTATGCGTGGTATTCGAATAAGGGAATAATATAGCTTCTCCCGGACATCGTGGCAACCATCGAGATAAATGTAGTTGTTTGTTCAATGTTGTGGTTTTGAGATGTTCAACGGTGAAATTATATGCAAGTACGTCATTAGTGATTTGTGGAAATAACGTTTATAATAACGGATTGTCGTAGTTGCTGTGCTATATTATGTGTGCTGTGTTCATAAATGCGTAAGAGAGATGCCCGTGTAAACATTGGCGATGTTATTAACATGCAGAAGACCTTTGAGTTATTTAAAATTGTGTTATTAATGAATACAACGAACCGAGTAAAGACATGCCTGTTTTCTTAGATCAAACAATGCCCGCCTGTTTTCCTTAAACGTGATATTACACACACATCAATCAAATAACTAAAAATAGAAATGCCTGAAAAAGGGAAGTCTGAATTATAATGGTAATAATGGTTTATTAGTAGTACTGTGGTTGCTTTATTGACTACAATCAAATTAAGAATTAAGTTGCAGATTCTATAAAACAACGCATTTATTAAATTATTTATTTTAGCCGTCGCACAACACACCCTGCTCTCAATTTTATATTCGTTTGTGCGAATTAGTGTTCTACTCAAAAACATAATGTGTCAGACGTTTAACCGCTTCCGGTACGTCGTTTCATTTTATAGATACTGACGTGTTTTTTATTCAAACTGGAAAATGTGTTTATTTCTTTTTTTCAGAAAGCAAAGCAGCGGCGATTTACAAAGCCGGCTCAAAACCAGGAAATTGCTAGGAGTGGGGGAAAGTGAAGACGGATCAGTTCCTCTGTCAAAGGTGAGTTGCTTGTCATCAATATCTACAACAAATACCTTCGGCTTGAAATTCTGTAGTAGCTACAGTCTAGGCATTTTTTATTTCGAATTAGTTTTAAATTACAATTCTCACAGCGTCGAACAAATAAGTGCATCAATTAAATTAACTGCTACCTTGGGTCACAATATTTCTTGTCAATCTCTGTGTATATATAGTGTATATATTGGTTTTTACAAGGCAATCAGTATGTATGAGTCTGTCCGCTAGTGTTTTGAGAAAATAAGTGAAAATGACAGTGGATCTTTGTCATGTTAATGGTGCGGATGCGTTCTATAACTATATCACCACACCACCTACATACTCAAATATAAAATGTATGTCTAAATTAGTCCAGTTTTTGAAAGAAAATCCATACTAGTTACATACATAAATATATACAATTGACGTATTGTTGATTAAATGAGGGTGTATTCACAAAGTACATTACCGCTACCATAGACAAATATATAATGCAACTATTCAATATCCCCGCTTTTGGAAACTCTATATTTACCATACATAAAACACGCCGGTTCATCATTACATTGCGTTGTTAGAATGTTGTTAGTACAACATCTTACAGTTATGATATTCACAAGGAAATAAACGGTTTACATTGGACATCCTAATATGTCCTTTTAGTAATCATGTAGGTGCCACAAAGGTGACAATAATTATTAATATTGATTGAATAAATATAGTGATACATATACAATTTTGGAGGTTTCCCCCACTGTAGCCTCCTTGTGCTAGATCGTTATATTCCTCTGAGACATGCATTTCTATTACTTAGATGTAGAAATTCATATTTAATGTGATCGGATACTTTATGACCTTATTATGTATATGTGCAATAGCTTAGTTTATCGCCAATTGTAGCTTTGTCTGCAAAGACTCCGATGTCAGCGAATGACTCCAGTATATTAATAATGCGTGAAGACAATATGATTGAAAATCAGCCGTTTGGAAGAAAGTCATTCAAGTGGATATGAATTACACTTGTCTTTTCTAATGGATAACTTTCACTGCATATTTCGAAAGATGTAATCGGTGACAGAGAACAACGACCGTATAGTCACTTAAACAGCAGTCCAGAACGTCTAAACGGGTTATTGTAATCGACAATGGTCTTGCATATAATTTATTATGTACCAGAATATCGAGCATGTGATATATTTCTCCTATGTATTCACCACATATTTGATAAGTGTACATTTCTTCCCTTGATTGGTTACGTGCACTGTCTTTACAAATAATGTTTTTACTTCATTTCCTTTATTTCATTTCATTACAAGACTAATTGGAAAAACAAAATCAGACAAACAACAGAACGTGTACTTATCTTACAGTAAAATACGAAACAGGATCACTGTGTCTGTTAGGGTTCTTGAACATCAACTCGCGAGCTTGCAATAATTTTATGTGTGCTCTCTAATTACGCGTCAATCGTCACATTCTAACGTTAATCTTTACCAAATGTTTTGCCCAGGACACAAAATTTACAAATTGTGACAGATCAGAGGTCAGTGAATGTTACTCAAGGTATAAAGTATCATCGGAACATTCGCGTGTATCATTACACTTCCTATCACGTCCCTAGGTCATGTACAGGGCCTTTTTTACGCTTGATTTGAGACATGTGTGAATACCACAATCTAATTTCCTCTGCCGGCAGACTCCGAATATTGGTGAAATATAGGCTCCGGAAAGTCGATATATAAACAGAATAATTATATGAAAAAAATGAATTAAATAATCGTTGTTGCTACATCATGTTTTTCCCAACGATACCACGGAGCCTCACATATAATGATGATGGGTTTTATTTTATCTCGTCTATTTATTTTTTTATCTCAGATTCATCAGATACTTGGTGGAGATGATCATTGCATGTTAGTGGTGCCAATCGGATTAAGGTAATGATAACGACCGTGGCTATAGGCAACGGCTACGTGGCGTGTAATTTGACCTCCTCTCTCCATATCCGGGTTTAGATTTATAGGAATATGGTAAAACGTGTCTTACACAAAATTTGCTTTTAAACCTCTAATAAAAGTCAAATTAGAATCAAAGAATGGAACACGTGACATCTTGGGCATCGGTAAAAGTAACTCAGTCTTCTCAAAATGATTTGGGGTATTTTCGTGATATTTTTTGGGGGAGGGGCTTTTTTATTTTTGCTTTGGCTCTTATGGTTTTCTTTCAATAATACTTGTTTTCCTCTATCTGACTCTCTTTAATGCTGAAGGATATGGCAGTTATCTGTAGCTGGTATGTTCGCCACAGTGTCCTTATTGGTGAGTATCACATTACCTAAAAATACCAGCGACATGTTATGTGAGTTAGTCATCTGTTAAATAACACAAGAAGCCATTAGATTGCAGCTACTTGCAATTCCGGTGAATTGTCAATTTTATCAGAGTTGTTATAATAATAAAGGGCACGTTTTATTGGGGGTCGTAATATTTTGTTTATTCTAGAATATTGTTTGTATAAAACCTTAAAAAAATAGTTGCCTATATAAAAAGATACAGTTGATATGTGTATATATCAATGCTGCACATAAATGATTTTCCAGTATAAATAATTATCGAGGTATAATAGTTAAATTTAATACTCTAGGCATTGATAATAGTTTTACATATGTACAATTATAGTAATTAGTTTTTTTCCAATATTAAGGTATTGAATAATAAGTGGGCGACTTAGAAATTTTCAACATTATTTCGTCTATTTGCTATTTGAATTTTATCGGAGTATCATATGGATGATATTTATACCGAGAAATTAAATTTCCGGAACGTCGATCCGTTATATAACGCACTGAAGCATACTATGAAAGGCTGCCGTTCTAGTTCGTGGAGGTGGGTCGGTTAGCTGAGAGGCCAGGTTAATGTTAAAGGAAATTCAACACCTGTGATATTCGGAATTTATGTATGTGTGTGTGTGTACTAACTAAAATATATGATATCCACATTGCTACTTCAATAAATGTAACTCTTATGATTACAGAGAGGATTCTTCAATATGCATCTTGTGAACTATTATCTCACTCCTTAAAATAATTTGTTTAAAATTAGTTCCTTTGATGTTTATATTCTTCATGTATCAGTATTTTATCATTCCTGTGCCACATCATTTGATGTCATCACTCTTCGTGTGTCAGTCATTTTGACGTCATCACTCTTTCGTGTGTCAGTCATTTGATGTTCATCATTCTTCGTGTGTCAGTCATTTGATGTCATCATTCTTCGTATGAATGTTCTTGATGTCATAATTCTACGTCTGCTTGTCCTTGTCCTTTCGTAATGGGGAGTTGTCATGTATACATAATCTAGTAATACCAAAGATAAATACAAAAATGTCAGTTGTTCAAATTATATTGCGAAAATGATCATAATATTAATAATAATAATATTACTTCCACAATTTTAATTTATTTAATGGCTATTATTTCGTAATAATTTTAACTGGTGATGTTCATAACAAACAAATCTAATCGTAAAACATATAATGTCATATATGTTATCTTTGGTTAACCTTTGACCGCCGTGTAGTACTCACACGTACTCATTGTTGATTTCCATGTAATAACGCCTACTAATTACTCATTCACAATAGACATTGATGTTTCCTGGTTTTATGTTTGACCTTCCTGTTGAATGTGACAACAGATATGCTTACGTCCTTCCTGCCAGGCTTTATGGAGCAGCGTTACTAGGTAGGTCGAATCAATGATTTGCTTTTTTTTTCGATTAGTGGATCTTTTATATGACTCCAACCGATGATCCATAGACGACAATGTTTGTTGTAATTTTCTTATGCCACGTGTATGAAATCATGCCCTCACTAGAACAACGCGTGAGCATCGGTGCTTGTGAATAAACACCCTCTTTACATTTTGTAGAAACGGAGATAAAAAAACTTATTTGTTTAGCAATGGAGGTGATAAGTGATATGAAACATATGGAATTGATCAGACATATGCTGTTTTGCAACGTAGATGGCAGTGCTCAAGTGTATACATTGCATGTACAAATGTAAAAATATGGATGTCGGACGCCAACCCTCGTGTTCAATGAATTATTTCACAGGCATCATTAAAATCGATTGATTGATTGATTGATTGATTGATTGATTGATTGATTGATTGATTGATTGATTGATTGATTGATTGATTGATTGATTGATTGATTGATTGATTGATTGATTGATTGATTGTTTGTTTGATTGATTGATTGATTGATTGATTGATTGATTGAAAAGTGTTATATATTTGTTGTGATGTTATAATTGGTGCATTTTAGTTACTCATTCATGTTACAATTTATAAACTTCGTTGTAGGTTTTGCAATTATGACATGGAGCGTCGTTCATTCGGTAACAAAGCAGGTGATTCGTATGAGTCTAATGGCAGACATTATATACTTTACAATTCAGATTTTAGGTTGGTATTTAATTTATATATCATATCTCATAAATGACGTAACCATTCCGGATTTATAGAATGTGTGTGCATAAAAAAATAATGCACATTCCTGTGGTGGAGAAAATAGAATGATTTTGAAAATATTCAGATTTATTATTGAGAGATTCAAGATATTGTCAAATCGCCAAAACAAGTTTTGTTTATTCGTTTTTGGAGATCGTTAGGTGAAACTGGTTACAAATACGAATCAGAATGAATACATTTGTTTGTTTGTTTTTTTCAACACAAGTAATCCGGCGTTCATTTCCGTGTGTTAATATGTAGTTTTTAATAGCAGCTAACACGATAACATTATTTTATGATACATGTGACGAAGCCTTACTTATTTTGAAGTAATATGTATGATAATCATTGATATTGGCAATGAATTTTCTGAATTTTGGTCACATTGGGCAAATAACTTCCGATTATTTATTAGTAATAATTATTCTATACTTATACAATTAATACGTAAAAGACACCCTATAGTAGGAATATACTTTGAATATTTGTCAGTATGGACATATGTAATGAATTATATGCTTGCTTTAATTTTCAGAGAAACGTCTTAAACATTGAATAACTCTTGTTTGAAGACTGATTACATATTCATTATGTATGTGTTTTATTCACAGTAACTAGTTATACAATTTGGCAAGGAGACGGATTTACACTATGGAGCAAATTAGTCATGTTTGTTCGAATCGTCAGTCTTGTCATAACGCTTTTCTACTACATCTGCCTAACCGGAGTCAGAGGATTGAGACGAGTCAGGTCAGCAAGCGATTTGGATAAAAAACTCGAATAGCAGCATTGTGAGAATTACCTATGTTCGCAGGCACTTCCACCTTTTTTGAGAAAAAAAATATGAGAATTGTGTTTTCAAAATTGTGTACCAAGTTTTGTAATCTACCTTCGTCGATGTGTCTGGGTTTTGTATTCATTCATATTCGTCACGTGACACTACTTGGCGCCGACATCGCGTGTTACCGCGGTGAACAAAACGGATCGAAGCATATCTGACCAATGTAACCTTTAATGTATATTTCATGTAATGCACCTCGTCTGGAGCAGATGATAAGCGTACTTGTTTGTGCGTGCGTTTGACTCTCGCGATTGTTCGCTGTCGCTGATGGAAAGACGGGTATTATTGGAAAAATGCTTTTCAAACAATGACCATATAGTTTATACAAGATGTTTGGTATTTAAACACGGCTGAGATGCAGTATATATTTTTCACGTAATATAGTAGGGTAAGGTATATGAAACAGTTAGTATCTACTCGTGAATAGTCCAGTAATTATTTTTTCAATTCATATTCTGTAAAATGTAGTTATGGCCAATAATCCAGATATGTCTTTATTTCCGGGGATATCTATCAAACCCTTTTGGTGATTGAAAGTAAAATTGGATGGGAATCTTATTTTGTTTTGCTATGTTATTTAAATCTAGATATAAAACACTTTCCTTCCCTCCCTGTCATGTTAACGTTTTTTATGCGTTTTCACTTTGACACGTGCACCCTTCCTCTGTGATATTGGGTGCAATTGTAATAGAATGTTCAATAACGCTCACTGTAAATGTTAATAATGTATGCGAGAAATAAACGGATGTTTTCACTTTGGTGTACTTATTCATGTTTTATCGTGACAGTCAAATGATATGACACTGGCATCAGTTGGTTTTATAGAGTGATGTTACATGATATTATATGTTTATATGTTTTAAAATATCGTATTACAAATATAATGACTTTCATGCGGTAGTATATTGCACGAGGAATCGATTATACGCTATATATTGAATAATATAAATGATGTTAGTATCATACACAATCACTATGTGTATATCGTCCCGCCAGTTTTTTTATTGGGAGTTATACCGCCTAATTGTTTAGTATTTTATCTGGAATGGTGTCCTTGATGTTAATCTGGGGTGATGGTTTATGTGGAGTGGTCCTGCCTAATTGTTTAGCTTCATAATGCAATTCGAGATGACCGAATGCAGCCATTTAACTGAACATTCATCAAAATCACACAATTACACCAGTTCGGAACTGGATCTCATTTGTTTGTTGGCGGTTTGGATTTAAACTCGGTACATACATTAAACACAATGGGACCATGATGGAATTATCTTTTCTGAGTTCAAAATGGCCGACTGGCGGTCATTTTGTTTTAAAGAATGTAGTTCGACATGTATATACCTGATATACCTTGGCCGATCAAATTTAAACTTCATACATACATCTGGCATATTCACATACATATTCTGATTCA